GGATGAGAGGTGAAACGTCTTCAAGCAACTTAAAGAAGTCCAGACGCTTTTCTTTGCAAGCTCCTTCGACTACGATGACCTGGATGACTGAGAACCTCCACAGACAGCACTCACATTATTAACTAAAACACTCTAACACTCACTACATGGAAAAAATACACACATTAATAGATGACAATGAACACAAACAACACACTAAATTCAAGATGGGGAAAACATCACCTGAATTAGCCAGTCATTTCAGTGTTAAATGTGGAATTTGAAAAACCTCTAGTAAACTGCCCTAAATGCTTCAACTAGGACTCGGGTTGGCTTTCTAGAGTGGGTCAGGTAGATAGTGAGGAGTCTTTGACACTAGAGGAAACTGTGGATCTGAACCATAGTGCAACTAAACTTGTGTGACTGTGTGCAACTAACTTGCAGTCTAATATAACAAATACTGATGTACATTTTTTGCAAGGCCAAGTTGCTGAGCTCACACAGCGCTGTTGCTAGTCCTTTACAAGACCCTAACCCAAAACTCTAACCCCAATTGTTTTATTAGTGTGTGGTCAAATTTGGGACTTTGCAGGGTGGCTTTATGATTATTATTTCTGTTTTGTTTTAATATTCTTATCCAATATATCCAATACACTGGGGACAGATTGTAATTAATTTTTATGTAAGAAAGGCCAGAGAAAGTGTCAGGCTTTTATCTTTAATCATTTTTGAGATGCATGCATCTCCATGTTTGGACTTTGCCTTGGATTTGAAAGTGCAAAAAATACATGCTTGGAATTGGTCGACATATCATTTTACAAAAAAATATAGCTTGAAAATTGTTTTGCATGTGAAATGAAAATTTTAAAAGGAATCATTAAATGTATATCCCAAAAAAATATAATTTTTTTTTTAGCAAATCAGAGGTAGTCAAGCAGAAGAGCCACAATGGTTTAGGAAGGAATGACCTTTAAGTGAGTCAACACTGAAAGGTTGAGTCCCAAAAACTGTTTTTAACTGTTGTTGTTGGTTTCATTCCACAGATCTACCCCGTCTGTGTGGCAGGTGTTATTATAGGACACAATGACCACAACATTACTTCAGTATTTACCAAAGATGTTGCTGTGATGTATAGATAACTGCATCTTCTCTTTGCCCACTGCAGGCCTGTTGGGTTTTGGCTGACCAGGGCTCAGTCTCTGCTCTACTGCAATGAGCATGGGATGCTGGGCTCCTTCTCTGAGGAGGTGATGAGCTGTAGCTGCTCCGTGGAGCAGCCAAACTGCCAAGGAGTCGTCCCCTGTGTTGTAGGGACTTCCACCACCTCCTGCACCCTCTGCGCCTCTGACAACGCCACCCGTTGTGGAGCCTGTCATCACGGCAACATCCTCCATCTTGGTTCCTGTCGACCTAGCATTGCTGCATCGCTAGATCATTACCTGAACTTTGACTTGGACATGCCTGACGCCGAGGTTCTCAAAGCTCCTCAATTATGTATTCCACTGGTTCTCAAAGCTCTGTGGGACAAATTAAACAAACAGTGCCTCAAAGGGCTCACATGCCATCAATTGTTAAATTGTTTTTGTGTTGAATCTTTATACTGAACATACAAGATTTACATAACAGTACAAATATTACAATATTATTATATTATAATATTATTATAATATTAGAAAGCTGACTCTGAAGTACCTGCAGTGCAAAGAGTCCCTTCATTCAGCAAGCCCAGGAGCAAAAACTCATACTATGCTTTTTTAATAAATCACCACAGCAGTTATTTTTTAGCCCTCAAGAGGTCTAATTTGTCACTGTTGAACATCTGCCTTAACTCTAATCCTAGCTCACAAGCCTTCAAATTGTGGCTCTTTAGACCTGCTTGAGTGTCTTCCTTTGGCTTTGACAAAAAACTTGATAAATATGAAAATAATCCTCTTAATTTGCTGAACCTCAATAGCAACGGCTAGCAAAGATGTGGAAGCAAATCGGTCATCTTTAGCCCCTCTAGCTATGGATTCCAAAAACCAGGAAAGTAGAGATTTCCACAATGTGTGGACAGATCCATTTGCGTTCACCACCAATGCTGCTGACTTACCAGTATGCATGACCTACAGCTGGACCTTAGTCAAAATTAAATTGAAAGTGGCCATTTTTAAATTCTTATGATATTTGAAGCTTTATTTATCAAAATACTTTCAGTCTGATTAATTTGTGCAAACCCAGGTAGGATTCAAAGTGGCCTTCTGAGCTTTATAGTGACTCTTTTTCAAGGTATGCCTTTACATTTTTTCTTTACAATAGTTCCCTTTTACTGCTCTTTACTATAATAAAAATAACTTATATTAAACAAATTTATTTATTATTTATTTATTATAGTTAAATAATCAAATTTTATAATGCCAATGCCTAATCAGAATGTCTAATTTTTGCT